CCAATTTGTTCCAAATTTATTAAACTCTAAGGGAGACTGGGATTTGCGAATATCTCGCTACGATAAACGAGGGTTAAGAAGTCTTATCCCCGCCCCCTTCTTCACCAGTCGGACGTCTGGAGAGCGGAGCCCGACGGCCTTTCACAATTTTCAAAGGGAGCATAATTTTTTGCGTGCCGACAATAGAGAGCCGGACCGGAGATCGCTAATTGTGCCCGACTCGGGGTCCGGGGGTGGAGCATTTGCATCGGCGGAGACGGAGGCTGGGGCCCGTGGAGGCGGAGAAAGAAAGACAAACGGAACGAAGTAACAATCAATGACGCTTTGGAGAGCGGAAAGCGCTCGTCTATACCGGGCTCTCAGCTCGGATGAACAGCTTTCGCAGTTGCCGGCTCGATGCCATGCCCGGCAAAGCTCTGGACAAGGTTCATGACAGCTTTTTTAAATCCAAATCGAGGAATTTCCGAGAAATTCTAATAATGAAATCAAGGAGTTTCCAAGATCCCTTAAACAATTGTTTTATCGTACGCTGAAAAAAAATCTCGGTGTATTTACTAAGAAAAGGGTAAAAATACCAAGAATTCAGGGTTCTATTTGATCCCAGTTTTTTCTTGGTAAAATTACCATTCATTGAATTGGTAATTTTGCCGAGAAATCTCGGTAAAATTATTGAACTTTCTCGGTAATTTTACTGGACCTTGGTAAAAACGCCAATATTTTTTATCGACTGTGGTAGAGTTAGCGAGATAAAATGGCAAAATTACCGGGAATTGATTACCAATAAAAGTGGTATTCTTACCTGAAAAAAAAACAGTAAAAATACCGGTTTTTAGGTAAGCTTACCAGTCTGTCTTGGTGAAATTACCAATAATTGGTAAAAAAAGTGAGATGGTAAAGGTACCAACGGACCTTGGTAAAAACGTCGAGAATTTTTTTTCAGTGGGTCGTGCCCGGCAAAGCTCTGGACAAGCTTCATGACAGCTTTTTTAAATCCAAATCGAGGAATTTCCGAAAAATTCTAATTAATGAAATCAAGGAGTTTACAAGATCCCTTAAACAATTGTTCTATCGTAAAGCACACAGAATTAATCGAATGATCGATTCAACTCGAGTTGACTTGAGTTTTTTGGTTGAATTGGTCAGTTGCGCTAGTCGCAGAATCGTGTTTTGACGCTTGATTCATGGAGATCGGCGAGAAATAATAAAGCTCGGTCCGAACTGCAACTTTCTACGTTGAATATTAATTGAGATATTGCGCTCTGAAAAATTCGGTTTATGACGTCATCCGCCGCGGGAGTGACACCCTTGGTTTCTTCCACCTTGCTTTCATCAGGCAGGGAGATAAAATTTTAACTGGTTAATCATCGTGAAACTAGGATGGAGGAAAGGTGGAAAAAACCAAGGGTGTCACATGATTTTTCAGGGGTCTTGAACTTAAGATTCCCTGCGTTGTTAATGCCTTTCCAATGTTCAAATATAAAAAAAAAAGCGAGAACTTGCATCGAAGTGCAGATGATGCCCCTGATGATGATTGTTTGATTCGGGATTTCTAGTCTTCGCCGACGAGGAGTGTATGAAAACGGTAAAAAAGTATACATTTTGTGGGCTACAGAAAAAGAATTTCATAGTTCTGCGACAACATTCTGTAACTTTTTCTGACTTTTCACGGATGTTCCAGAGCGACTCACTTCTCCGGGTCATTAATGACTGAACGAGAACTAGAACTTGTCACCCTATATTCTGAGTGACATTTTGAGAAACGGAAGTTTGTGCTTCGGTGCTTAATTCCTCGCCATATTTAGGAGTCCATGCACTGAAAAAAAAATCTCGGTGTATTTACTAAGAAAAGGGTAAAATTACCAAGAATTCAGGGTTCTATTTGATCCCAGTTTTTTCTTGGTAAAATTATTGAACTTTCTCGGTAATTTTACTGGACCTTGGTAAAAACGCCAATATTTTTTATCGACTGTGGTAGAATTTCCGAGATAAAATGGCAAAGTTACCGGGCATTGATTACCAACAAAAGTGGTATTCTTACCTGAAAAAACAGTAAAAATACCGGTTTTTAGGTAAGTTTACTAGTCTGTCTGGCTGAAATTACCAATAATTGGTAAAAAAAAGTGAGATGGTACCTGAAGGTACCAACGGACCGTGGTAAAAACGCCGAGAATTTTTTTTCAGTGTCCTTTAGTGAGGAAAATCGAGCCAGATCAATTGAAAACTTGACGAAGAACGTTCTAATGTGAAAGGGAATATCCGACAAAACTGACGACGTCTCGCATCCACTCTAATCCTCCAACGCACCGCAAAGAATCAGAGAAACAATACGCATTTCTAACTCATCATAAGACTCTTTGCAACGCTCCCTCTCCACACCCCATCCAGTGTCGAAAATCTTAGCACAAGCCTTTAAATTGTCCCATGAAAGTAGCCTTGATACCGCGATTTCTGGTACGAAACTCAGCAATGCCGGACGGTGCCGTCATGCCTTCAATGCACGAACACGTCATAATTCCGAAGGATAAAGTGTAAAACACTCATCGGCATCCGAGACCCTTCTTACAAGAACCTCTTACATAATGGAAAGAGCGTGCAAAAGAATAATTCCTTCGGTCCTTTGAGGCAAGTGCGTTTTTGCAAGAATAAATAACCGATCCTTTCATTTAACTGTGATTGGACTGAAGATAGAATCTCCCTTCCCTTCTCTATGCAAGAACTTCAGCGATCCGGCGGGAACTACACTTGACAGAAGAGGAGCTGCGCTCTCTGTCTGACGTGTAAATAAATAATCCGACGCTCGTTGCATTAATAGGCGGTCAAAGTGGGGTTCTCAAGTTGCTCTCCGGTGACGGGTAACTGGTGAGTTAATGAATCGACCAACTTAAAAATTCTACAGGCCGCAGAGCTTTGAAGGTAACCCTTAATAGTTGTTGAAAATAGGATTAGTGTCCTAAAGTAAAAATTATTAGACTGAAAAAAAACTCCGGCCGTGGAAACCGTACTTACAGGCTATTATACACATACCGTCTCCACTCCTAGCTCAGAGGCAGAAAGTTCCGGGCGTAGCACCTGGAACAATCGAAGCTACGGCTCCAGCATCCGGAACGTTTGGCTCTGAGCCCGGAACGATCGGTATGTCTATATAGCCCGTATCTTCTTTCATCAGTGCTTCGAATTAAAATGATTTTCTATGAGTTCTGCCGCACGCTTTTAATTGCGTGTTTTGGTTGTTCGAGTCAAAACATTTTCTCAGCGAGTACCTAGTGTAGAATGGTAATAGTTTTCGATTTAATCGGTCGATTATGAGTGGACTTCAACGGGAATCATGATGGACTCTGCGCTGCTTAAAAATGTACTTATTCGCTCATTAATGTTAATTTCGCCTTTTTTACTCGAACTTATTCGCACAAATTAGAACAAAAACGCTTTTTTCTCCCGTCGCGCTCGTATGCAGATAAATTATTTATTTCCATGAAACGCGTCAAAGCAATTAAGTTGTTCGATTCGTTTTCATTTTTATTTTATTTTATTCCAATTCGAGGAGCTTAAAAAGAAGTCTTCTGTTTTGTCGTTCGTCGCTCATAAAACATTTTACGGACGTGCAAATGAAGCTGCGAACAAGATCATTAAAGAGACAAGAAAGTAACTTCGATACCCGCGCTTGTTGGATTCTGATCCCTTATTGGGGGGGGAGGGAGGGGGGCACAATGGTGCTTGTAATCAGACGTACTCAGTGTAGTCAAGTAAATTGAGTTGTCTGTTTGCAGTCCTAATAAATCCTACAATAGAAAGTAGTATTTATGAGAGTAAAATATCGAATAATTATTCCAAAGCATTCTCAATCTCGATAAACATATGGATTTTAAAAGATCGTGTTAATTGGAAATCAATACCGAATATCCAAGAATCTTATACAAAATCAAGTTTTAAAAACCGGTTGCACATTTGGATGACATTTTGCAGTGATAAACCACTGCTTCTGGCTACCTAAAAGCACATATCTGCACAGGGAATGACATCTATGTTGTTTCTAAAATGAGCCAGAAATCGTGGTTCCTTATTGCAAAATGTAATTCATTTCTCAATGGCTCTTGACGTGAAGTTAAAAGAAAATTATCAGATAGGTAGGTAAAATACAATCGTTGTATGTATGTGAAGCCACTGATTAAACTTAGGCACCAAAAAATTACTTTATACCTCCAGTGCCTTGTTGAATTTGGTATTTTTTAGGCTTGAGTAAATTAACATGGCAACATTTCGTCGTCTCTCTGACGTACGAGCGTATCTCAATTTCCACGTGAGTCCTGTTTTACGCATAAACTTATGCTTTTTGGGGCTCATGCGGAAATCAAAATACGCCCTTACGTCAGAGGAACGACGATTTGACCCGTAGTCGTGAGTGCGAGCAGGCTAATAACTGCACTGAAAAAAAAATCTCGGTGTATTTACTAAGAAAAGGGTAAAAATACCAAGAATTCAGGGTTCTATTTGATCCCAGTTTTTTCTTGGTAAAATTACCATTTATTGAATTGGTAATTTTGCCAAGAAATCTCGGTAAAATTATTGAACTTTCTCGGTAATTTTACTGGACCTTGGTAAAAACGCCAATATTTTTTATCGTCTGTGGTAGAATTACCGAGATAAAATGGCAAGGATACCGGGAATCGATTACCAATAAAAGTGGTATTCTCACCTGAAAAAACAGTAAAAATACCGGTTTTCAGGTAAGCTTACCAGTCTGTCTTGGTAAAATTACCAATAATTGGTAAAAAAAGTGAGATGGTAAAGATACCAACGGACTTTGGTGAAAACGCCGAGAATTTTTTTCAGTGTAGAATTATGCTTTCTGGGGCTCATGCGGAAATCGAAACACGCCCTTACGTCAGAGGAACGACGATTTGACCCGTAGTCGTGAGTGCGAGCAGGCTAATGACTGAACTTTTTGAATATTGATACTCAGAGAGAAGTTTAGAATCACTGTCTGCCCCTACTGGCCCAGCATGCTAGCACCGAAAATTAACTGGCGTGGTCACACACCCATTTATAAAGACTTCCTCTCGAAATATGTTCTTCAGACTGACGAGTTGAAACGTCATTCAACTCATCATCACGGCGTAAGTTCAATAGACTACCGCTGCGGAAATGCAGAAGAGCGTCACAATGTTGCAAGATTTACTTGTCTAAATATGGCATGTTATTCGAGGGAGCTGTTGAGTCAATTCAAGATTCATGCGCGTAATATATGAAAAATCCACGCATTTTAATGTTTGCTCACTTTTTGTATCTTCATCAGAAGTTTCTATGACGTTAAATTTCTTGATTTCATTAGGCGACATGAAGCTGTCGCACACTAAACACTATATGCGCAGTGTCTTAAAGTGTCAAATTCTACACAGTCAAAATTATTCCAACCGTTTTTAAAAGTTGAATCAAACAAAAAAAGTCTTTCCCACTCAATTAAACCGATTCAAAGAAAATGTTACGGCAAAATTTTTGAATTTTTTTTACAATAATTAACCGATTTGAGCATAACATTAATATATAAACAAATAAATTTAAACGCGGGCTTTTCATTTTTATTGATGGATATTTTTGGAAAATTAAGAACAAAGAACACTTTCTCATCTTTAGAAAAGACCCGAAATAGTCTCCCCTCAAATTCCTCAATTTCTTGACAAACGAAGTGAGCATAGCATCAATAAAAAAACGAAGAAATTTGAATGCGGGCTCCAATTTTTTTTTTTTTTTTTTTCAACTGTCAGATTTTTTTGGAAAATTAAGATCACTTTTCCATTTATAGAAAAGACACGAATTAATTTCCCCTCAAATTCATCAATTTCTTGATTAACGTCTTCACCCAAGCCTAAGAACCATCCTGTTCTATTCTCGCTGTGTACAAGTGCATACAAATACATATGCGAGATACAAATGGACGTATTTCTATCAAACGGAACTATGTGCATTATGACGTGAGCCCTGTCATGCATATATTTTGATGGGTCTCAGGGCTCATGTCTTAATGCACATAGTTCCGTTTGATAGAAAAACGTCCAAATGCAAATACATATGGATTGTATTTTGACGTTGTAACCAGATAGAATTTTGCGAGAAACGGTCGAATGCTATCGGATCGACGATCAGGCGTCTCGCCCGATCTGCCGACGATGCAGTGCCTGTTCAGAAGTCGAGCTCGCTCTCATGGGCGCGACGCGACCGACGCGGTACGACGGTACGTTCCTTCAAAGGAACCACATGGATCGTCTTGGAAAGGAACGCCGAGTTGATACGCGATGCTAATAGCCTACCTGTGCTTTAGTATGGTCGTTTGTTTAAGCTCTACTGCTCGCAAGTTGGGACCAGAGGTCTGGTTTAAGATCGCGTCTGTCGATTCTGAATCGTCCGAAATGTTGCCGCGTGTCGTGTCGAATATACTTAAATTTTCGGAATATTTGGATATTTGGACTGCATTTTACTGGCTCATCTGTAAAAGCACTCAAGTGCATACACACACCGGTGGTGCATACGTTGTTTCTAAATTAAGCCACAATTTGTAGTACCTAATTGAAAATAGTATAATCCATTTGACAACAAAAGTGTACCGAGAAAAAAGATTGGTAGAATGTGCTATTCCTTCACGCTGTATTTCACTCAGCGTAAATTCAGAGTCTATTCTGCCAGGAGAAAGGTAAACGTTACTATTTACTGGTACAGGTAACCATTCCTCTGGCAGAATACGCATACTGGTGCATAAAACGCGTTTACTGGTGTTAGACATATTTTTTGCGAAAGCCCTGTCAACACTACTAGCAAAAGTTCACGGAACTTTGCGCGAAAGTTAAGTCCCGTAAACCTATCTCTTTGTGAACAAGGCCTTCCATTTGTAAGCATTGAACCAAAAAATTAAGAAAGAACAAAAATAAATGTGATTTAATAATTTAAACTTCCGCCGCCGCGCGCCAAGCTGACCGCACTGTGTTTGACGCAATGCGTGAAGTATTCATGCAGTCTTGTAGGCGCTATGCGTTTCACGCCGACCGCTGCTGACCGCACTGTGTCTAACGCAATGCGTGAAGTATTCATGCAATCTCGTAGGCGCTAATATGTGTTACATGCCGACCGCCGCGCCGAGCGCTTCTCCTTTTCATCTCAAGTCCTCGTCATCATTTCTCCCTAAGTCGCGCCGTTCCAGGCCAAATTGCGTGTTTGATTTCTTTCTTACCTCGACTAATTGAAGGTACTGTCTCTTGGATCACTAAGAGACGACAAAATTAGAAATTACTACACTCTCAGAAAAGAGGGATTTTGTCCCCTTTTCTCATTGATAATTTTTTTTTTCTGAATCCCATTTTTTTTAATGCCTACATTTAAAAAATTGCAAAATGAGCTTGTTCAGCAATTCGTAATTCTTGCATTTTTGGAAACTAGAGAGTGCACAGAGTTCACAGGAATTTTCCCCGATTTTTTTGAGCAATATTAACCCACGAAATACGAGTCCAAAAGTCCGTATTTTGGGCTCCCATTTAAACGCGCGCCGCTTGGCCCATCTCAAAATGGCGCCCATTTTCTCCGTCCGGCGGTGGCCACACTTTTGACCCGGCGTGCCGGCGAGGTACCTCTGCATGCCTCTGCCGTGTGTGGGCAAGGCGGATAAAGAATGGTGGTCGCATTTCGATTTTGGCTGCCATCTTGAAGCGCTGTGACGTCAAGAGGGTACGGTTTTTGCCATGCAATTCGAGGTTGACCCGGCTCCCCCGGCCTCGGCCGGCCCATGTACCCAATACCGCGTGACGTCCAGAGGGTACGAAATGCGACCACCATTCTTTATCCGCCTTGGTGTGTGGGTCGTATAAACAAACGAAGATTGATAACACAAATGATCCAAACAACTCGAAATCTCTTAATTTTAATTAATTTAAACCCATTTTCGACTTCAACCAAGCATTTGGCAATAATAT